ATTTTTGACTGTGTAACTTTACAAACAGTACCCCATAACACCAGATCTTAGCAAAGTATCTGTAAGCGACCTTAGCACACAGAGATGGCTGCAGCTCAGCCAAGGTTGCTCACTTGTGGCGGCCATCTTGGACAGGGTTAAGTCCTGAATTTATTCTTTTTGACGTGAGCTGAGTGACTTGTTTTGTCATTTTTGTCTTAACAGATTTGAGCCAGTCTGGATCAGAACCCCTCGCTGAGCCACTGCAGGACCACGATCAGAAGCAAATCTCCCTCAAACAGGACTTTTGCGACTTCTCTGCGAGAGACGTGGCCGAGCAGCTGACCCGACTGGATGCTGTAGGTCACGTTTGCAGAGATGTTTTCAGTTCGGTGAAACGTAATTGTTGGACCGGTCTCCTAAATCTATTCTTTTTAAATCCCCCTTCAGGATCTGTTTGTCAAAGTGGTGCCCTTCCAGTGCCTGGGCTGCGTCTGGTCTCAGCGAGACAAGAAGGAAAACCCAAAGCTGGCTCCGACAGTCCGAGCCACGGTTTCCCAGTTCAACGCRGTCACCAACCGCGTCATCACCTCGCTCCTCTGCTCCTCCTCCCCCAGCCCGTCCACTTCCTCCCCCGTCTCCTCACCCTCCCGGGCCGCCGCCTTCCTGTACCCATCGTCGGCCCCGGGTTCGCCCCGCTGCTCGCACGCCAGCCCGCTTCACAGAGCGCGCGTCATCGAGCGCTGGATCGCCGTGGCGCAGGTCAGGGTCTTACAGAAYGCAGCTTCGTAAAGGTGGTTTGTTGTGAGACAGGTGTGCAGCTGTGTTCGTCTCCACAGGAGTGCAGGCAGCTGAAGAACTTCTCCTCTTTAAGAGCGATCCTGTCAGCTCTGCAGTCCAACGCCGTGTATCGCCTCAAGAAGACCTGGGCGGCCGTGAGCAGGTTGGCTCTCGTCCTCAGCGCACTTCTATTTTACTGTAAAAAAAAAAACATGTTGAAGCTGATTTTTGTTTTATTTTAGGGAAAGCATGAACATCTTTGACCACCTGTGTGAGACTTTTCCTGATGAGAACTGTGTGCTGAGCAGCAGAGAGATTCTGCTGGAGGTAAGAACTGTTTCCTTATAAACATGAAAYTAAACTGACATGTTGGAGAATTTATTCAGTTTGGTACAGCTCCTGCACTCTTTCAGCTCAGGCCCTACTTTTATTGTTATTTAAAATAAAAATGGTGCAAAATATGTTTGTGTCAAACCCATATCTAAAGTACCTGTGACATGCCTATCCTTCAAACACAAAAAGTCAAAGAAAGCATCTTTATACTTAAAAAAGTTAGCATAATACACATGATTTTACTCATTTTGTCCCATAACTGGCCTATTTTCTTTTGAATTTGGCTCAGCCAAAGTGAAACAGGAAGTGACATCAAAGGGGAACTCATTAATAAAATAAACTCTGGTCTTTGTTTATTAAAACAAAATTATTTAAACTTTAACTCTTCTTCATCTCTCTTTGATAGCGACTAAAAATATCTAAAGAAACATCAGATTCTTCTCTACAATCTGTGTTATCAGCTGTTTTAACAACGCTCTGTTTACATGCAGTCATTCCCCTTTGACATCACTTCCTGTTTCTTCACATGCAAATATCTCAACAACCGTTCATCTGAGCGACGTGAAATTTGTTTTGCAATATGTTACCAGTGTTATCTTTCCAAAAAAGCATTCATGTTTGTTAAAAAAAATTTGATGTCACAGACACTTTAAGGAGAATAAAACCAGCTGCAGTGATGGCAGCAGGTGATCTATTAAAGCAAATAAAAATAAAGCTGCTTGCGTTCAAAGACAGAGCGAACTGTCCTGACTCTGATCACAAAATGACACCAAAGTGGTAATTATTAAACACGTCAGGTGAAATTTTATCTAAATATMTGAACAAGACATTAAAGTTTTTTTTCTCCCTGTTTAGTTTGAGCTGAAGTSAAACAGCTTCTGATAGTTCCAGCAGGAACAAAGGAAGCTGTTTCTTCAGAAAAGCGTAGGATTTATTGTGTTTTCCTTCAGGGCAAACGATGCAGTTTCTCAGAAAGCTGCACAAAATGTACCCGAATGCTGCTTTAGTAAATAGAGTTTGTTTTTAGTAAGCTGCGTTTTCTGTTACAGCTCTGTAACATAACTCCTGTAATTATTTATTTATTTTTCTTTAGGACAGGCGCTTCTCACGCAACATTTTACTTCTGTCGTCCTGCGACGCCTTAAACTTCCTGAATAAGACTTAAAACCTCCCGACTCCTAATATGAGCCCAACTTTCTGTGGTATAACTTTATTTCCTTTTTTTTAAGTTCATCCAGTCAGCGTGGAAAGTGTTGCATCATCACCGGATGTACCTTTATTTAGAGAATCTCAGGATTTCCCCTCGAGCAGGTGCTTGTTCTCGCCATGATTTATTTTTTTTTAATTTCKAAGAAACTTCCAGTAAAGCCGGTTTTCCAGGAGCAGCAGCCAGCTGCCTCGACTGGTTGGAGAAGAGCAACAAATAGGAAGACGGCATCAAAAAGCAACACATTATGTTTTAATATCAAGCAGAACAGATGCGGTGGATGGATTTAATGAAACCAGACTGACCTCAGATTTTAATTTATCCTCACTTTTCAGTCCAGGTCATTCTAAGGAGAAGTTGTTTGCGGTCAAACCTTGTAATTAACGTGATAAATTATTTTTATCACCAAGTTTTAGCTTTAATGTCTAAAAAAACTGGCCGAGTTGAAGCTATTTTTGTGTTTTTTAGTTGGTTGTGATGATTCAAACTTAAATGAGTTATTTTTTAGAGATGAGAGCAAACTATTTCAAGTGGCTTGAACAAAACTGATCTGTTAATAAGCCCAACTGGCGATTCTACTTATTTAAACACTTAAGGAGCTGCTTCTGGTTTTTCAGATCGGCCTCCAGGTTGGTGTTTTCTCTTCTGGTAGTGATTGTGTGAGCAGCAGACGTGTGTGAAGTGACACAGTGTGTATCAGCAGTCCAGTTTCTGGGAACAAGAAAGAAGCTCATTGTTAGAAGCCACAAAAGTTCTTATAGAAAAGCAAGTTTATCTGCTCTGCTGGTCACGTTGTGTTTTTTTTTTCTCTACCCAGAGTGTTCTCTGTTAGGAGCTCAGCCCTGGAGAGGAGGGGGGAGGAAAAAATAAAATAAAAAATAACAGGAATTATATAACTCCTCTACTTGTTGTTGTCTCTCTTCAACAGCTGACTTTGATTCGTCAGTGTTGACACGACTGCCGTCCTCTCTCTCTCTCTCTCTCTGCAGGATGGGAGTCACCCTGAAAGCGGCGCCGGCCAGGGCTCTAAATCACCTCGACTCGGCTCCGAGTCCAGACACGCGGTGAGAGCAAACTCAGCTTTTTTCATTTCCCCCGTTTGAGCCCTGAAATAGACCGAACGCATCAGCTGGTAGAAAATGAAAGGCAGAGTTTGCATCAGTTCAGCTTCTTCTAGGTTTGCCAACTTCTCTATTTTTTAACTTAACAGAAAAACAGTTACTCTTGAAGAGATCGTTTTYACTTATTCTTCAAAATAAAACCCAGGAAATCGCAATCAGAGGTGTTTTAAAGTAAAAGTACCTTGACAGAAAATGACTCTGGTCACAATTATTTTCACTGATAAATGTATTTATGCCATAAAGCTGCTCACAATAATCGTGAAAGTAAAAGTACTTTTACACACATAGAYAAGGGTGTCGAACTCATTTTCACAGAGGGAGCGTTATGGTGGCCTTCTAAGGACCAGTTGTAATGAACTTTGACGTTTCATGTTTAACTTTGACTAAACAGTGTTTTAACACGTCCTCTTTTAAAAACTGATAAGAATTAAGTCTACGGCTGACTAAATCTGAAATAAATAATACAGAACTAATGCTGAAAGTAAAACTAAGAGTTGTAGTGAGTAGCTGTCATCTTGAGTTCTGAATTCTCCCAAACAACTCTCTTCCAAGTTACAGATCCTTTAAAATATTTCTGAAGTCCTGTAACAAAGTAAATGTACTTTAGTATTGTACGCCTCTGCAAATAATGCATTRAATTTGTACCAAAAAACAGAAAGTTAAAACTAAGGCTGGTTTTATTTTCTTCTCAGAGCTTCAGCAGTGGGGTGGTCCCGTACCTGGGCACTTACCTGACGGTCCTCACCATGCTGGACACGGCGCTGACCGACTCTGTGGAGGTCCGTTATTCACCTGAGCTGCTTTATGGAGTTKAAACCATCCTGTTTATCTGTGGGTAATAACAGATTTTTATGTTTCACAGGGTGGTCTGATCAACTTTGAGAAGCGCAGGCGGGTAAGTGCTCCCATCTAGTGGTGATTTGTGTGTATTGTTTAAAATGTGTTGCTTCTTTTTTAAGGATTTTATGTTTTTCTGTTGCAGGAGTATGAGATTCTCTCCCAGATTCGTCAGCTCCAGGCTTCTTGTTGCCAYTACAACCTTGCAGTCAACTCTAACGTCACCGCCTGGCTGCAGACTCACACTCTGCTCACAGACCAGGAGAGGTAAACCCTGCTGAGACTTTCAAAAAGAATGCACCCAAATGCCAMCCGAGGTGTCTTTGTCTCATTTTGRTTTTGTCTCCTGCAGCTACGAGCTCTCTCGTGAACTGGAGCCACCTGTCGATCCCTGCCCCAACTCCCCCAGCCTGTGGAGCAACCGTCTCCTCGCCAAGAAGCTCGCCACGTACGTTTTTTTTAGTTCGTAATGACCGAGATGCAGAAGCAAAATAAAAGAAGACACTAAAGAGCAGTTTTATGTGCAGGTTGAGAACGTCCCACTGCGACCAGATCAGTGTCTCGTCTTCTGGCTCCAGCGGTTCCGACACGGAGGACCTCTCCATCCCTCAGCCCTCCCGCCTCAGATTAAAACTTAAGGTACGAGCTCTGGCAGCTTCCAGGTTCCCATTCGTTTCCTGTCCGGATGCTCACAGAGCCCCTCCTGTCCCCTCAGTCTCTCCCAGGCTCGCTGCACAATGTAGCGGAGGACTCCTCCTCGTCCTCCTCCTCTTCGTCTCCCAGACTCTCCAGGTCTTCCTGCAGCTCCTCGCATCCCAACCTGAGCTCTTCCTCCCTAGCTCTGAGCCCAGAGTCCTCGTCATCGTCGTCGCAGTGCGGCTGCTCTCCTCTGGCGSTGCAGCCCGTCTACAACAAACAGGTGGCGGACTCGTGCATCATCAGGGTCAGCCTGGAGTGTTTCCACAACGGAAACGTCTACAAGAGCATTCTGGTACAGATTTGAGCTGGCTTATTAACAAATAATTTCTCTTTTACTCAGTTAACCTTTAAATTGATCAGATGAGTTGAACAGAACTAAAACAAATCCCTGATTGTTAATGTTAGTATTTGAATCAACGYGTCTGTTCGCTCTGCAGCTCACCAGCCAGGACCACACGCCTCACGTGGTGCAGAGAGCTCTGGAGAAACACAACATGGAGGATTTCAAGTGCAGCGACTTTGGCCTCTTTCAGATGCTCAACCATGGGAAAGGTCAGCATGTCCTCAGAGCTGGAGAGTAAACTGATAACTGAACAGATTATATAAAAAACAAACTTTCATTAATAGTTATTTGCTAGTGATGAGAAAATTCACCTTCACCGATTTTTTTTTTCTGTAAATTTGTTTTAACTTTGAGCATATATTTTATTTTACTGTATTTTGATGACTAATATAGGGTTAAAAATATTTAGCTGCACATTTCCAATTTTGTTTTTTTTCTCATCCCCAGAGCTCCAGATTCCCGACAACGCCAACGTGTTTTACGCCATGTGCACCTCCGCCAACTATGACTTCGTCCTGCGTCAGCGCCAGTGGAACCACGGGAAACAGTCGGGCTCTTCGTCCAGCCCCGGAGCTCTGCACAGAACCCACCAAATCAAATGATTTTTAGAAAATAAGGAGTGAATAAATCAACTTCTGCTGATTATAACCCGGGACAAACGAGGAGCTGAAGCATCTCGTTTCCGCTCGTTGTCGCCGGACCATCGGTGTGCACCAGAGCCGCCGCAGATTCTCCCAGGCTTCGACTGAGGGAAAATAAAAACACGGAGGAGTTTTCATTTTCTCCAGAACYGTTCAGAGGAGGAACCCCGGGAGGAAGAACTGAAGCCAGAAACARAAAGTTCCTCCTGGATCTTCTCATCAGATGAACTTTGTGGATTATCTCGACGTTTGTTGAAGTTCTGTCAGTTTTTACTTCGACAGTAAAAACTGATAAAAATGTTGTGGCTTCAGAATCAGAGCTGCGGACTCTCTGATCCAGGTCAGTCTGGATCGGTTTAGGAACCGATGTTTGGACCCGATCCAGCTCTCAGAGCGTCATTTCTAAGRATATCTAAATATATTCTTGTCTCCTAGTTGTTGATTTGTATATTTTTAGCAAAGCTGTTTAGTTTTATAAGTTTAAATTATTTAAATGCACTTCAGTATTCAGATTTCAAAGTAAAATGAAGAATGTTTGTGTGTCTGTTCCAGTATTTTAAGCCTTTTCTTTAAAAAAAAAAAAAACCTAAACTTGTCCATATAAAATACTAAAAACTCTTATTTTGTAGTATTTTCATGTAAAGACTCCAGAAAATGAAGGAATGAAAATTAATTTTACTTGAAAAATTGATAATTTTAAAACAAATGCAGCTGAAATAACAGTAACGTCGGATCTTAAGATTTCAGAACCACATATTTATTTCTTATTTATCATGTTGAAACCAAACTCCAGTTTTTTTTCTCTTAGTTTGGTCATTTTTTAAGGAGGATCAAATGTCATGGTTTGTTATTTTTATGCATTTTTCCATTTTAAGTCTAAATCTTTGGTTTTATAAGCTCAACCCAAGTTTTGCATCAGCTTAGATGGAATATTTTATTATTTTGTGGTTAAAGGAAGRAATAAATTCATGAAGATTTCATGAATTTATTTTCAGCAGCCTGAAACGAGTCGTTTAGGTTCAAATGTCTGTTTGCTGACGTGAGAGAACAGAATTATTCCTGTCAATAATTAATTTAATTTTAATTAAGTTTTAGTTTGCATCTCGCTCCATCTGATGGATGTTGGATATGAAAGACGTGTTTCAGCATGTGAATAAAATGATTTTTTTGTCATGAAAAATCCTCTCTAAAAACAGCCAGGCAGCATTTTATACAGATATTTGTTTGCAGAAATTAGATKGAACCGTTGCACGTTACAGTCTGCCTTTATTTGTGAGATTATTTTATCTTTTATCTTTTTGAAGGAATTTGTATCTTTGGGTTCAGTTGAAAGCTGCTGCAGTTTGATAAAAGTCAGATGAAGGATTGTAACTAAACAGCTGACAAATTTCTGTTCATTGTGCAGTGTTATTATTATTATTATTATTATTATTATTATTATTATTAACATGGAAGCAATGTTACTGTTAACACATGTTTTAAGAGTTTTATTTTTAGGTTTAATTGAAGCACTTTCTGTAAATCTTAGTAATACATATTCACTAATAAAGCAAATTACTATTTTATACACTTGGTGTCATTTCTGTTCGTTACCAGCTTCTTATTTCAGAGCTGATGTCCAGCAGCAGTCACTGTGGGGGACACCTGGACGGGTTCATCGCTGGGACACATGGAGACAAATGAGACAACTTTTCGCACTCTCACTTAGGACAAAGTTACCAATTAACCATTAAGTTAATTAACCAACTAACTTTTGTCCCATCCACCAAAGTTTTAATTTTCTATTGTCAGCATTGTTTTATTAATAAAATGATTTTTATTTGAACGGTAAACCTTAAATTACTAATTTAATGCAGCAAAATAAATAAATTAGAGTAAAAGCTCCTGAGCTTTTGGCTTTGAGCAACAGCAATTAAACTAAACAGCTTTGTAATGTCTCATTAAGCTGCTCTAAAGCCAACATTAATACTGAACTACATCTCCCATAACGCATGTTGATTATGCAGGATTTCCTTGTCAGAATGTGGGAGAGCTCAGCTTCTCACCACAAGTCATCAGTGAGTAAAACTCCTACTTTTAATAAAATTTCTGTTTTATTTATCTCACTTTTAGTTG